CGGGAAACGAAAAAAAAAAAAAAAAAAAAAAAAAAAAAAAAAAGAAAAACAAGGTCTCAAGTTACTCTGCCCAGGACAGAGCAGACAACTCGTTGTGACCACACATCTTAGAGTTCTAGGACAGGAGGGACCAGAGAGGGGAATCCAGCTTCTCCCAAGCCTTTCAGACTCATTTACATCAAATGCTCTTTCTCCAGCAAGCCCTCTTCAGTTCCAAGTCTGGCTTAGGTGTTCTTCCCATATGATCCCAAGTGCTTCCTTTCAGAAGGCTCCTGTCCATCGCTGGTAATAGCTGTGAACACAATCTTGAAAACTGCCTGATTAACTTGTCAGTGCCCCTTGCTGAACTGGGCTGTGAGAGGGTAGGGACTAAATCTACATTCCCAGCATCGGACACAGTGCCTGGCACAGAGGCTGGTGGTTTTCAGCCTGTGTGCCATGGTACCTGGGGGGTTGGGGGGATTACCACCTTCAGAGATATGCTGCCAAGTTTTGATGTCAATGTAACTGAAGATAAAACTTTTCTTTGGGAGATGTCTATCAGATAGATAGTTGAGCTGAGTGATCCTTGAACCCATGGCACCATTTCTTCTAACTATTTGGTTGGATGCTTAGTCTATCAAATTGGTGGTGGGGGGAGGCAGGGGAGATCTATTCAAATTACACCAAAAAGCAACCAAGCAATAAATAATACAGTAACTGTGGATCCAAATTATGCCTTTTTCAAGGCAGGCAGGATAAAGGCCAAGAACCCCTGGTTTTGAACATGTCCCATTTGGTTTGTTGTTGCAGGTTTCTAACCACTGGAACACAATAAAAGCCAAATCTATAAACACAGAAAAAAATCCCCCCAAGTGCCGCACTGAAAACTGGGAATCTGACTGCCACCTAACAAATTAAACTGCTCACAGTCAAAAGGAAACATAAGCAACTCCCTTCTGCCCAAAGAAAAAATTGCATCATCCACACTCCAACTACTTAGCTCAAGGCCATGGGCAAACAGCCTGGAAGATAAACTCCAGGAGTTCCAGAGCTCACTGGCCTTCTTTAGGAAATTATAAAGACCGGGCTGGAGAAAAAAACAAGGGAGGAGAGATTTCTGCAAAGAGACTTCAGAACACAACCCATGCCTTGGGACAAACTTCACAAGGATCAGATTCAGTTCTGGGAGGGAGGTGCTGGACCATGGTCAGTAGTGGGCATCCCACAATCCCTTGACTGCAACAGGGCTCCCCCTCACTGCTCCAACAGCCTCTTCCTGTCACACAGCCTTTGCTCCCACTGGTTCCACCTGTCTGTTCTCCCTCTTCCTTCCAGGCCTGCTTCAAATGTCATCTCAGGATTCTTCCAACAGCGATTGCTCCCTCCTCTGACCTAAGTCCACAGCCTCTCACATTCATTTGACCTTAACATATTGTTCTCCTTTTCCATTCCTTTCTTTTCCTCCCTCTCCAAGGGCCAGCATCCTCTCTTCTCTGTCACTCATTTACCCTACTGAACTCTGCTGAGCTGACCCAGGGATAGTATGCCTTCATGTCTGGATCAGGGCAGTGGGTCTTGGCTCCTAGGTGTGTTGTTCCCTATCACAGCAGATCTGGCCTAAGCTGGAACTTCCCTTTGGAGTGGTTTGGCCTGGCCCACCCTTCCCTCTCATTGTGTCATTATTCCTACCAGCACATGAGAGTTTGGAGCCAGCCTTCCTTCCAGCAGCTGGTAGCAGCTTTTTTCTCAGGCCAGGTGGCCTCATCTAAGAATACAAACTCAAAGCAGCCACAATCAGCAACATCTAGACATCCTGAACCCAGAGGAATGCCAAAGAAAAGCTCTGGTACTTTCTTGCCACTGCCATGGTGCTGGACTGAAGGCAAGAAAATAAACAAGTTCCTAGGCTTAAGAAACCTCTACAAGGGCTGAGGGTTGAGTATTATTTCTGAAAAAGCAGGCATTTAATAACTAGATCTATGTGTTCATTTAGGGAGCCCAATGCAGGCATTTAAAAGTTTAACTAACATACCAACACCATATAGTACTGAGGATAGAACTGTGACCCAGACAGACTCCTCTCACACATACTACCACCTGGTGGAAAAGACAGACCAGTAAATAGACACCCCTGGGGTACCCCAGAAGCCCTAACTCACACCTGAAGTAACTCAGGAAAGATGAGAAGGATTATTTCAACCAAAGGATAGTGCCTCAAACAAAAGGAACGTATTGTAACAAACACCTATGCCCAGAAGGAACTTGTTCCTATCTAGGAACTAACAAAGACCCAATATGGTTGAAGACACAGTACCGTGGAGACGAAGGAGTCTAAAGTAAAGTTAAAAGAGGACAGATCATGAAGGGCTATGCAAGCCCTGTTCAAGAGCTTGGAAGAACAATACAAATCCACAAAGGAGGGTAAGGGAATGAGGGGAGGGTTCTGGAGACATGATCAGATTTGTGTTTTAAGAACATGGCTCTAGCTTCCCTGTACAGAACTACAGAAGATCAAGAAGGGATGCAGGGGATCAGTCAGGAGGCTACTGAGGTAGTCCAGAGGAGAAATAGTGGTGGCCTCAGCTAGACAGGGCAGAGGGATGCGAAGGGAGAAGTGACGTATCCAGGAGAGCTTTGCGATGGATTCGATGCGGGTGGGTCAAGGAGTGCAGGCAGTGAGAATGACGCCCAGGTTTCTGGCTTGGGCACCTGGATGGATGGAGGTGCCATGCCCAGAGAGGGAATACAAGAGGAAATCAGCTTCCCCGCCTTCCCACTCCCGCGCCCCGGCACAGTCTGGCCAACCTCGCCAGGCCCGACAGGACGCGCGGTCCGCCCCAGAGGGAGATGGGGAACCAGGCACACAGGGAGAGTAACCCTCCGGCCCGCGCGCTTTAGGCCGGGCCAGGGGCACTACCCACCCGGCACAGCTGGTCCCACTGGTCCTGAGGTCCCCAGGGGCCAGCGAAGGGGACGGAGATCGGCCTGGGCAGACCCGTCTGGCCCCAAAGCCCCGGGCTGGGACACAGGCTTCTGTTCCGGGAGACAGGCCCTACTCCTGGCCAGCCAAGAGTCCCGAGACGGCTCGGGGGCCGAACCCCCCAACCCCGATCCACATCACTCCTGAAGCTCGGAGTCCCCCCACAGGGGCGCCGAGATGCTGCCCCGCTGCGGACACCTGAGTGCCGCCCGCGGACCTCCGCGCCCAGGGTCGGGCCTCGGCCGAGCGCGGGTTCACTCACCCTCACTGTCCCCGCCGCAGACGCGAAGCCCTCCAGCGTGAGCCTCGCCAGCCCCCGTCCCCAGAACGCTCTTTCTGGGCCCGCCCCACCCCGCCCCCTGACCAACTCTGCGCACGCGCGCTGCCTGCCGGCTGCCCGCCCTCTGACGCCACGGGCCCCGCCCTCTGCTGGAGGCCGGCCTTGTGGTCCTTTCGCTTGAGTCCACGTGTAACGGGCCCGGCCCAGCACTGGACAGAGTTCTTCACCTGCCTTCCCGAGGGCGACACGCGGCTGCAGTGCGGGTTGAGCCATCGGAAGCCCTAGGGCTCGGCAGGTTGCGAGGCAATCCCGGAAGCCCCTGGGAACCTAGTTCGGCGTGGCCGTAGGCTGGCGGATCCGGAGGGGGCGGGCTCCAAAGCTGGTTCCCAGCTCTGCTGCCACCTCCCCTTTACAGTTGGGAAGAAAGGTAATAACAATCTTAATTTCTCACCTAATGAAACGGCTAGAAGACGCTGGCCGGCCTTGGCTTTTGCGTTTGCAAGATTGGCCTACTTCCAGCTTCTGCTCGCAGCGTTCCACGAGCCCCCCCCAGCCGTGGTACCCATTCACTCCCGCAGACGGGTGCCACCGAGACTTCATGGGACTCCCAGTTCAAATACTACCTTACCTGTGCATGTGTGAAATCAGTTGCTTTTATCATTGAAGGGAAAAGAAGACAAAGCACTTAAAAACAACAGGCCCATGGGGCTGGCCGGTTAGATCACTTGGATAGAGCGTGGTACTTACAACACCGAGGTCAAGGGTTCCCACCGGCCAGACACCAAAAAACAAAAATAGGCCCATGAACAAATAAAGGAAACGAATAATCCCTGTATAATCCTGCCCTTACCACTTTGCTTCTATAGGAGTTGTCATTCAGTGAATTGTCTATTGACCAGTTGGATAAATGAACGTAGGACTGTCATTTAAAAAATGCTTTCTCTCATTTGTGTCCATAAAGATACATAATCATATTTCATATAAACCTGGATCCAGAAAGGGAGAGACACGAAGAAAGTGGTTAAGCAGGTAGATGATCCCAGAACCTTCCCTTCAGTCTACTTTAATAGACCAATGCCTTGAAAATTGACCTACACCACTGCCATTGATTGCCTCATTCCTTTTCCCACCTTCATCCAAGAACCTGCCAACCCTATCCCAGAGAAAAATTGCAGGGTCCCTGAAGAGACCCTATTGATTCAAAACCCCTTCTCCTTTCCTTACTCTGAAGTTTGGGTTAGTTTGATCTAGCTCATTCTCCTGCCTTGCACCTGCTGTCTGTCCATCTATCCATCCCTCCATTTGTTCATTTATTCATTAATTCAATAGCATTTCTCTAGTACCTTCTACCTGCTAGGCACTGTGCTCGGAGCTTCTAGAGATGCAAATACAAATATGAGACACGGTCTCTTCAAGAAGGTCAGTGTATGGTAGATGAATAAAGTGTCTTCATTCTATCTAGCCAATACTTCCACTTTCTCTTTTTCTTTTTCTTTTTTTGTCCTTTTTGTGACCGGTAAGGGATCGCAACCCTTGGCTTGGTGTTGCCCGCACCGCACTCAGCCAGTGAGCGCACCGGCCATCCCTATATAGGATCTGAACCCACTGGCGGGAGCGCCGCTGTGCTCCCAGCGCCACACTCTCCTGAGTGCGCCACGGACTCGGCCCTACTTCCACTTCTTCTATGGATATTATCCTGTCATGTGTCTCTTGAATCAATAATTGCTTCCTCTCTACCAGATCATTCCCATCAGCATATAAGTTTGCTCTCTAGTTTCTTCCCCACCGTGTTACTGAAACTACAATCCCCATGCAAATCCAGTGGTCTCTTCTTTGATCTGTTTTTATTTTATTTGCCCTCTCAACACTGTTCATCACAGTCAACCACTCCCACTTTGAAACACTTTCTTCTCTTGTTTTCTGATACCACACTTTCTTGGTCCTCCTCCTACCTCACTGGTTATTCTTTTGGGGGCTGTTACTGGCTTCTCATCCCCTGCTCAACCTATAGATATCAAAGTACCCAGGGTTCTGTCCTGAGTCTCCTTCTCTATCTACCCACTCTTCCTATGTGACTTGGTCTTGTCCTATGCTTTAGATACCTTTTTTTTTTTTTTTAAAGATGACCGGTAAGGGGATCTCAACCCTTGGTTTGGTGTTGTCAGCACCACACTCTCCCAAGTGAGCGAACCAGCCATCCCTATATGGGATCCGAACCTGTGGCCTTGGTGTTATCAGCACCACACTCTCCCAAGTGAGCCACGGGCCGGCCCTTTTAGATACCATTTTAAGCAGATGATTCCAAAATTTCTCTCTCTAGTGATGTCCTCTCCCCATAATTCCTAACTCTTCCAAGTAACTGCCTACTTGACATCTCCACATGAATGTCTAACTGGGATCTTAAACTTAGCATGGCCCCTAAAAAACTTGATTTTCACCCCGAAACCTGCACCTCTCTCAGTGTTGTCCATTTTAGTAAACGTTGCTGCTGTCATTCAGTTGCTCAAGCTAAAATTCTAGGATCTATTCTTCATTCCTCTTATTCCCTTACCTTTGTATCTAATCCTTCAGCAAATCCTGTTGATTTTACCAAAGTATATTGAGTCCGTCACTTCTTTCCACCTCTACTTACTACTACTATAGTCCAAGGAACTATCAACTGTTATCGGACTTCTTGAGAGAGAGCTTCCTAACTGACCTCCCTTCTTCCATTCTTGCCTTACTCTAGTCCATGAGTGAGAAGCCATGTATAGGTGGGTCTCTAACTTGTAGCTGAACCCGTTCCTAACAGGCAAATCATTTGGTACCAGAAGCAAGATGCTAAAAACAGATACTAAAGTGTGAAATTGGCTAACTGGATGTTAAGGTAGTCAGTGGTGAAGACTCTCTATTCTGTACCAGAAAGCTAGTGACCCTTGTTAAGCAGTAGTGAAACTGTCAAACTGCTGTCACTTTCTGGACCTTGTGTACAGACTGCTTGCCAACCACAGTTGTATTTTAGGGGAAATCTCAGGAACAATATAGAACACTAGTGAGTGCTGGCTTTCTTAGTAGCTTTCAGCAAACTCCTTGAAGAGAGTGGCAAATCTAGATTAGAAATAATTGACTTGAGGCCGGCCCGTGGCTCACTTGGGAGAGTGCGGTGCTGATAACACCAAGGCCACGGGTTCGGATCCTATATAGGGATGGCCGGTTCACTCACTGGCTGAGCGTGGTGCTGACAACACCAAGCCAAGGGTTGAGATCCCCTTACCGGTCATCTTAAAAAAAAAAAAAAAGAAAAGAAAAAGAAATAATTGACTTGAGGGCCGGCCTGTGGCTCACTCGGTAGAGTGCGGTGCTGATAACACCAAGGCCACGGGTTCGGATCCCATATAGGGATGGCCGGTTAGCTCACTGGGTGAGCATGGTGCTGACAACACCAAGTCAAGGGTTAAGATCCCCTTACCGGTCATCTTTTAAAAACAAAAAAAAAGAAATAATTGACTTGAGAGCAGGGATTAAAGAAAGTAAGGACTTGGTAAGAGAGGATCCTTTTACCTGCAGCCTACAATCTAAATTGGCCAACAGCCCTATAACTTGGAGCCTTCCTGGGTTGAAGGAACCAGTTTATTTTGTGTACCCAAGCTGAAAGCAGCACATGTAGAAACAGGTGAGGCAGCCTTATCAGAAGATAAGACTGAGGCCTCAAGTAGCAAGATAGATTCTAGGTGGCATCTCTTTCTTCAGCTGTTTTGAACATTGCCTCAAAACAATGTTTTGCCTATGTAGGGGACTCCAGGGTGGATGAGAACAGGAGTGAGAATAAGACTTCAATTTATACCTTTTAATATTGCTTTAATTTTTAAACTATATTCATATATTACTTATTTGAAAAAATAAAAAACATTTAACAAAAAGCAATTTAAAGACTCCCTAGAAAAGTTATTTGATTGTGATTACTTATACATGGAATTGACCAGAAGTCTAACAAATGATTGTGGGAATTTTGTGTCCCTAAAACCTCAAGCCTAGTCAACAACAATCTGTTGTTGTTCAACCCTCTGGCAATCCCTGGATCCCAGAATTCCCTCCAACAGGGAGTGGAATGCAAAAGGTGTGCATTCTGCACAACCAGAGGACAGAACAAGGGCAGGGCTTCCAGATTCTCCAACCAAGAACTTAATACACTGCCAGGAAAGGGACTCTTCTATTTCTATCTAGTAGGATTGAATGTGGTTTGCTGACCAGGATATACTGTTTTCCCTTTCCTCTTTTTTTCTGAATGGAAGCTTTTATTATTTCTTCACACTGTACATTGAATGTATTTTCCTGTGTAGGCTTTTTTTTTTTAACATTTTATTAATGTGTAGTATACACAAAGAAAAGTGCACGTGGAAAAGTGTACAGCTTCAAAGTTGAACACATCCATGTAACCAGCACCCAGATCAAGAAACATGACATTACCAACACCCTAGGGGCTCTTGTGCTACCTTACAAACACCATCCTCTCCCCACAAAGTACCTGCTATCCTGACTTCTAACACCACAGAGCAATTTTACTTATTTTTGTATTCCATTTAAATAGCATCATATAGTACATACTCTTTTGTCTATGTCTCCTTTTGCTGAACATTATTTTGAGATTCATTTATGTTGGTGTAGTTTGAGATCATTCATTCTCATTTCTGTGTACTATTCCATTGTGTTGATATACACTATATTCTTATCCATTCTACCATTGATGGACACCTGAGTAGTTCCCAGTTTTAGGCTATCATAAATAATGCTACTTTGAACATTGTAGAA